TTTTAATCCATTCCAGCTCTGCTTATAAACACACTGCTTCTCTTTGAGGATGTACTCAGAACTGCCTGTCACATAATTCTTCTTGCAGCAATATAGAGTCTCTGGCATGGAGACTGGCTGGTTCTCCTCAAGCCCCATAAGGAGCACGCTCACGTAATTGCTCTTGCCTGGCTCTCCCAGTCTAAGCCTTCACCAGATGCAGTGACTTTGGCTAGTTTAGTCCAGAAGGAAGAGTGTGTGCAACCATAATGCCCCTTCCTTCTGTGGCCTTTCTCTTTCCTTTTTGCTTTCTGAACCTCATACTGGAGAAAAAAAAAAAAATCAAAAATCCAGTGCAGCACCACAGGCTGATACAGAGTACAAGTGACCAGCGCTGTGATCATGACCATTCAGCCATGAGCAAAGATGAACAAGTGAGTCCTGTGAGCACTTCCCCCTTTAGGCTGCTGTCACAGCCTTTTAACATTCTGGGATGCCCTTGAGTTATGGGCAGAAGTATTTTAATGGCCAACTCCTTGCAGAACTGTCCAGTAAAGATCTATTCACAGGGCCACGAGAAGAACCAATTAATACTGGTTCAACTAACTCAATAAACAATGAAAAAATAGTCATTGTTTTCTTTCTCATCAAAACAAGACGCTCGTGTCTGACTCATCCCCCAGTCAGGCTGTGGGATGAATTAAATTCCATCTCTATTGCAATGCTACATCTGCTAAACTATTGAGAAGGAGGTATGAGAAAAGGACACCTTCTCTTTTGGAAATCTTGTCACCTTCTTCTCTAAATTTGAAACTGAAGTAACTCTGGGGTGACTGAAAATAGAGCTGCGTTTTGGCTGAATATATTCAACAACAAAAAAATTTTACACATTTACCCAGACTTTGAGAAAGACAAAGGGCTGAACGTAAATGTAATAAGCAAAAAGAAAATCACTTGAAACCCAGTCCTGGACTGAAAGACTGGAAAGAGTTGAAGATCACATAATTTTTAAAAAAAAAGAGAAAGAAAAAAAAAAAAAAAAAAAAAAAAAAAAAAAAAAAAAAAAAAAAAAAAAAAAAAAAAAAAAAAAAAAGAAAGAAAGAAAGAAGGGAATAAAGAAAGGAAATTGATCAAGAATTTTTTTCACACGGAAATATTCATATTGATCTCACTTCTTGGTGGCCAAGTCATACAGGGACACATCTATGATTAAAGCATCAAAACAAAACATCATAAGCAGGCTCTTCTTCAGAGAGGAACAGTTCCCTTTTAACTTATGAATTTCTTATTGCAGGGAGATTCAGGTGGTCCACTGACTTTTGAAGATAGGGACAAGTGGTTTTTGGTTGGTGTAACATCATTTGGCTACAAATGTGCACTTCCCGAACGACCAGGAGTGTATGTTCGAGTCACCAAGTTTGTCGATTGGATCAAAAATATCATCTATTAGCTTGGGGTTTTTTTAATTATAAAGATATAATTTAAATGTTGAAAGTAAGCCATTGCATAATCCTGGCATTTCAACCTCTTAGAAAAACTAAATAAATATTTAAATTTTGAGCAGGAAAATATTAGTAACTGAGAACTCCATTTCCAATTGAGAGCAATATTTCAAAATATATGTTGAGGTTTTGTTAATAAATAGTTTTATCATTTTACTTTTTTTTCATATGAGGCTGTGGGGAAACAGTGTCTTTGAACACCAATGCATTAAATGCACAATAGAGGGCATGAGCAGTAAAAAAAAAAAAAAAAAAAAAAAAAACACCTCACCTGTTTTTATGTTTTTATACTGTGTTTGTCAGTGTGTAATTTGATATTAATCCATAGTCGACTCTTTCCCAGTGATCTGCTTGCATATCAAAATGAAAGTGTAGTTATCTGTTTAAACTAGGCTCATGGGAGTCCCTCTGCTTTGTCTATTACAAAAAGGTCTGGAATGAGGTTTATGGATTGGGCATAAAGGCTGATCATGTGTCGTGCAGCTTTCTAATGAATAAACGGAATGTTAGCTGAAAGTTTTCTCTTGTGTGATTCATTTGGAATTAACAGAGTTAAATAAAGATTAAATATAGTTTTTAGTTTTCTTTCTAGGTAAGTATTTTGGCAGTTGTTCAAGCAATTATTGCTGTGTGCCTGTGCACACCCTAGCACAGACTCACAATACTGCAACTTCCTCTCATAAAAAGTTACAGTTTTTTTTAAAGCATCTTACAAAAATGAGCACCAGCTCTTCCTGGTGAATAAAAAGTAATAGAGTTCCTGCTTTTTCTGTTACTTTTTAATACATATTTTGTGCTTGGTATAAAAACTATCAGGATATCCCATTACACCATTCTAAAGGGAAAGAATATGAAGAACAAAAAAAAAAAAAAAGGGGGAGGGTGTATCTTCTTGAGGTCTTTTACAAATAGGTTTCTATTAAAATAAGTTGAAATGCCTTGTATGGTTTTTGTAAGAAGTTCACAGATTTGTTGCTTACCGTGCTAAATGCAGATATGAAGTGCTAAAAATACAAGTCTCATTTGCAAACACAGGTTGGTGGTCATTGATAAAAAAAAGCATCAAGTCCCAAACTGCTTTCAGGTCTTCATAAGCATTAGAGAATTATGTCCAGACAAAAATATGTACGGTTATCAAAACATCTGTGACCACAAGGAACGCACACAAATATAAGTAAGCCACCAGAGAGAAGGTATAAAGGTGTGTTTGTTAGACACATTCCCTCATATAAAACACACAGGTTTTAACATTAAAAGGTTAAATTCTATCTTTCATAGTGGACCACTTCTTCTCCTGTTACTCTCCTTCATTTGAAAACAGCCACTGAAAATAAAGTCCATTCTGCTACCCCTAGAAGTTGACTTGGATGAAGCAATTACATTAAAATGCTTAATTAAAATGTGACGTGATTTCTGCATTATTTACCATGCACTACTACTGTAGATTTTGTTTCAGTCTTGTTTGTTAACAAAATACAAAAGACAGCTCAAAGCAGATCCAGTCACTAGAAAAACATGCTTCCCATAAATAAAGGAATATACTTTTATTTGTGTATATTCTTTTGCTTCACAAAATGCAAAGCATATATGGATATTGAGGTATACATTAATAAACCACCCCATCAGATTATAATATTTCCTGTTATAAATTCTGTCATAGAAACATAGATGCAATATACATTATTATAGTTTTTAAAAAGCCATTTAATTTCAACTAATTTATGTCTCTATAAAAGTTAGTCAGTCCCATTCAAGCCTTCAATCAGCATGCATGGCTTCAGCTGCCTGTGGAGAAATCAAGCAATACTATGTTAAAACTCTTGGGTGGCATGGATTATCTGCAATTGAGTCACAGTTCCAAGAAGCTTTGAAACAGGGGGTGGATATGGTGATATGACAATTATTTTGTCCCAATAACCAATAGTTCTTACCTCTTATAGCTACTCCGATTTTATGTATAAAAGCACTGCATGCCACTTTCTCCTCCCTTCGCACAGAGTGTGAGTGGTCCATGCTGATGACTGCCCAGAAATTACTTTCACTCCTTAAGAAACACACCTGAAGGTATTTGCATTATCCTAGTTGCTGCACAGAAATCACTTCTGCTGTATTAACTATAATACCAATTACTACACCTTAACATGTCCTTTGGATGCAAGAAACATGAAGAAATAGTTAATCCTTAGACTGAGTTAAAGGGAGTTAATCATTCAATACCAGACAAATAACTAAGTTCCTTTACTGCAACTGTTCCCAAGAAAGAGGTCTCTCTTGCCCTCAGCTGAATTGGGCAATAATTATGTCAGGAGAAAAACAATTCCAGTCTTTCTGATCATGCAGGATCAAAGTATTTTCTCACTACAAAAGAAACTAAAGTTGGGGATTGAACAAAGAAAGAAGCTGTGACTGATTGGAAAAACTGCAGAATATTTTCAGTAGGAATAACATGAACTACAGGAGAAGGCTTCTTTGAAGAGGAAGAAAAACACAGCATAACAGCAACTTTAAGAGGCTTCCTAAAGTGCTTCACCAGCTAACTGCACAATAAATATTAGTGGCATTGAACTCTCAAATATTTTTTTCTTTACTCAGAAAAATCGACACATATTTGTCTCTGAACTCGTGTGTTTAATACCAGCCAGAACAGTGTAGGCAACACAACAGTCTTGCTTTGGTCAGTCTCTCCCCATCCAGTGGTAGTTTGGAATCTGTATTAAAGCCAACAAGGTTGAACTCATGCTCTTGAACTCCTGCTGGAACTGCAGTAAAACCCCTTAACTTTCTGCTTCAGCACTAGACTGTCACCAACAAATCAGCCAGAGTGCTACTGCAACCACCCCAGGGCTGCTCCTAATGACTGGGAATACCATTCTTAAGGCACGGAAAGCTCTTAAGGATCCTGAGAGGATGGACATTAATGATGTTAATCATAACTCTAAAAGCAGACTGTAAATGCACCACAGTTAACTCTAAATCTGCCCATCAATTAACATAATTAATGCTTTCATAAATAATAGTCTGAGTAACTTTGGGATCAATCTATTAGTGCCACTTCCAAGAAATGCCATTTGTCTTCTCTTTGTTCCAACATTACATTATTCCTAACAAAGTATTAGCTATATTTAAATTATCTTTAATGTCTTTTTTTTACATAAACTTACTGAAACAGTAATTTATATCTTGCCCCCTCTGAATTTTTTTCCATTATAAAAATTAAAAAAATTTACTTGAATAACAACTAATAGCTGCCTTCAAAGGAAACCTCATTAATGAGGTATCACTTGCCAAGTTACTTGTGTTGAGCTTGGGGCAATATGTCAAAAAGTTATGGTCATTCCCTGGCCAAATGAATTCATTTCATGACAACAAATTGATGAATCTGAATTTTGCCACATCATGTTGATGTCACAACATGGTGGCTATCTCTGTCAGCAACTGTGTTAATATTTAATTCAATAATATTTGTACCCGAGGACCAAAAGCTGTATTGTGTGCAAATAAACACTAAACAAATATTTTGTATCAAACTTTTATGCAAAGATAAATAATTGTTACACTGTAAAATTGTCAGTTCCATTTACAGTACATCAACTAGGTTACAATGCATGAGAGACTAAAGAAAACAAAGAGGGTTTGTTTAACTACAAACAGTCTTAAAACCAATATACATTGTGGATATTTCCCCATAAAAACTTCAAACGCTCCGTTCATTTCATTGCTCACAACTAGCTAAACACATCTCTTAGCAAAATAAACACATACCCTTTATTTAGCATGGCATATTTTGTTACTGAATTAATAAACGTTATATAAAAATGATCTGAACATTTGCCTCAAGGGGGAGCTTACAGTTCATTCTTGTAGATCCTTTGCATTTTCAAGCCATTCCAAGCTAACGTTCTTTGACGACATTATAAATACAGCCTCACTGCAAAATGTTATTTTTGCCTTCTTTTCAGTCAGTAAATCATTATACCTCCATGCTACTGTCCTTCCTAGGCGTCTTTGAAATCCATAGTGTGGACTGGTTTGGACTGGTTTTTGTTCTTCCTTTACTGAAAAACAAAAACATAAACTATTTTCAGTGCCACGTGTGCCTTTGCAGCCCTGATTCAGGTTTGTGATCAGACCTGAGTGTTTCATCCCCATATTTGAAGGCCACTGGTGTTGCTTTCACAGAGGAGGTTCCCCATCCACAGCAGCACCACAGTGGTGGGTTTAGGTAAGCAACTCTTACCAAAGTTACCAGACCACCCTGCTTAGCAGTGCTACTCCCAGGAACTGTGATAACTTGGCCCATATTTCATTAATTTTGTTTGGTTGTTTTTTGTTGGTTGGGTTTTTTTCCAGTTCACATTTAACCACACCTTCTCTTAAAGAGTGGTCTTTTCAGGGATAGGTATGGACACAGTATGGCCAGGGTTGGTGGGAGCTGGGTGCTTCCCTAGTAGGAGGGACCAGACACACACCCCCCACCCCTCAGCCCTGCCCAAGGGGCTCAGGGTGCAGCCCACCCACCCCAGGGTCATGCCCCAACCCTGCCCACATGCACCCCTGGGACCCCAGAACACTAATGGGTGTCAGCAGCAGAAGGCCTCTTCCCTTCAGGGCTTGACCTGACATCTAATGAAGTGATGGTGCATGAATCAGACTCCTAGCAATGAATGACTGGTAGAAAGCTTCCCTAGGGCTGGTTTTCCTTCAGTTGTGGTTGGGGGTGTTGGGTTGGTGGGATAAAACTGGTTCCAAAAGTACGTGCTCTGCAATATTTCAGAAAACTGTTCACTCGAGTTTTTACAGGGAGCGCTGAGGTACCACCCTGCAGGTTGATGGCACTCCTTCCCCATGGCTACAATTGCCACAGTGCACCACCTTCCCTCACTTACACTGGCAGGTGACAGTGCACTGCAGTCTACTGTAAAGAAGCACTTCCTGAGCCACTGCAGCTGCATTTCAATCAGAATGTTTTACTCTCAGGCTACAATATTTCACACTGGTGGGTTCTTTACCAAATAAATAAAAAACAGAGGAGGAGAAGTAGCCCTACATTACTCCGTAAGCTGGAAACTTAAGAGTCCCAACAGTCCTATACATTCATTTTTCTGAATTTTTAGTTTGCTCCTTTCCTGGTTTGTAAAAGCAAGTGAGTCTGAGTTGATTTAAAATGTGCTTTTTGAGGGAGCTGAATGGTACAGTAGTTTTTAGTCCCTCCAGACTTACCTCTCAAGTCCTACAAAGCAATGCATTATGTACCTGAGCCCATTGGAGTAATTGAAAAGACTCCCATTGGCTTCAGTGGACTTTAGATCAGGCCACAATGCTATAAACAAAGCAATTGCAATGAATCAAGGAATTTCAGCGCTTTTTTTCTTAAGGAAACTGATTCAGGACTTCCTTCCAGATTAATCCAGCAAATGCAGGCATATTTGGTAAATTAACGATGAAATGCTTTGAATGGAGAGTCCTTGCCACACAGCAGGAACAATTTCTAAATATCTTGAATCAGAACTTGAGCTGTATAAAAGGAGCTTATCTTCAGCAAACCTACGCTGATTTTCACCAGCTACACCTCTGGTTTGGGAAATATATTTTAGTAAGAAAGGTAAGGAAGATGCAATAAATAGCTTGAGCATATTGCTGTTTTGACCATCAAATGCAATCATAAAAACTGAGAAATATACCAGGTTGGAATTTAAACTTTCTGCAAGGCATTCAGATGATAATGGAGATGGGTCTTTGAAGCAGTTTCTCCTTGCTTCCCTGGAAGAAATGAAAGGGAGAGCATCTAAGCATGAATGAGCTGATCAGTTCTGCCAGCTACAGGGATGAGGTTTTGTTTTCCCTAATAGTACCCTTTAAGAGCCCAATGCCAGGCAAAATTAGTCATGACCTTTCAAGCTAGGCATGTCCTGGTTGGCCATGGATTGTGGGTTTCAGAGGAAAGGTCACCATGTTGTGGAAGCCTAAAAAAGAATGAGAAGTCAGGTTCATGTGGAAAGTTGGGGATCCCTCCTTCCCCAGCAGGACAGCATCCCTTTCCTAAAGCTCTACAGTGTCCAGATGATCAGTTCAAGTGCCTCTTTTTTATTTGCCTTTTGCCCAAGAATTGCACATTTTTAATGGGCCAAAATAATTTGCAAGGTGGGCCATAAGTGGAAATATAGTTGAAAATAGATGGGGAAATATTTTTTTAAAACAAAGTTCTGTTTCAATTGATATAGAAAACACTTTGTTCTTGGTGATTGCTTTTTTGATTAAAGTGATTTTTAGTTTAAGAAATTACACTACTTTTAAAAGTTTTGATGCAACCATAAATGAACATTCTGGGAAGAAAAAAAAAATCCCACAAACAAAAAGACAAAAATGCTATTTTGATTCAAAAGTATTTTCTCACTGATTTTTGCATCGTTTAATCTATCCAATAATCAGCTAACAGAAAGGGGACAATCTTCCAAGGTGAATTTCCAGTATCTGTGTCATGCGATTTTGAAGTCTTGGAAGTTTAGATGAATTACTTCTGCATGAACTGCTATAGCATCAAAGGCCTGATCAGAGCCCACTGAAGTCAACACCACTAATTCTATTGATTTCAGTGGGCCATGAATCCCTCATTGCTTTCCCAGGAGGATTTGAGAGCTGAAACTTCTCTGGGGAGAGAAAGACCTGCCAGAAAAGGTATGAACACATATGTCATACTTACCAGAAACGCAGGGCCATTGTAATGAGGATTTCAGATTTCAACTACTACATAATTTCTATTGTTATACACATTATTTCTTTATTACCTTTTTTGCTTTGAGCTGCCAAACTTCTACAGCCCCAGGGCTGATGCTTGGATATAATCTTTCCCTAGCATGTATTTGCCTGTCATAAGACATGTTGAAAAGTGCACATTTTCCTTTTCCTTATAAGAAAGTGGACAATCTAATTTATGATGCAAACTTCATAATATCTTTTCTTTATGATTATTTGTTGCAATGAGGCACATTATTAAGAAGTACTGCAAATATCACTGTACACTCACTCATACAGATAGAAACACGTTTCATATTTGAAGTGTTTTCTCATCTGAAATAAGGTATTTCAGTTATTGGCAGAAAAAAAATAAAGAAAAACCACCAAAAAAAAGACTAAAAATAGGGAGGATTTTTTTTTCCTAATTTCTTAAAACAGTGGTATATTCCTTACTACTATTTCTGCTCTTCAAGAGGGATAACAGCTTGTGAATCTGTTTATTACTCTTGATACTTTACTAAAATAGCAATTATCTATTTCAGTTTAATTTTTTCTGGATCACATTGCCTTGAGAGCACTTTCTGAAAAAAAAAGATGAAAAAGATCCTTAAAAAAAGTTTCAGAAATATTAGCTCAGAAAAAAAAAGTCATACCTTAGTGTATCATATTTTGAGAAAAATTAAAAGTCAAAAAAAATTTAAAGCATGAACCAAAACACATCCTGTTTCATAGACTGAAATGTTTCCTCTGTGCGTAATAATTCGTCTGTTTGACACTGCATCTGTGTACAATATGTGTTAACTTTATGCATTTTGTTTAGCAGATACATGACAAACAAAGGTTGCCACTCTGGTGCGTGGCTCAAAGCACAGGTTTGCTCTTTGTTTTCAGTTTCTCTGCTCCAGTGATCCATCTGTTGCTTGTAGGGTATGTGCAGTGAAACAGCATTAAACAGCTGCTGACCCTTAGCTCTATCCTTGGAAAAAAACTGTACTTTAAGTCAGAAAGTGAGGAAAGTCCTTGAGTTCACCCTGTATTTGTGAGGACCCCACTATTCCTCTCCATAACCTAGATGCTGCATAGGTGGTTATCATGATGGAAGAAGTGAAATAAGAGGGCTGACAACAGCTCAGCCTACCAAATGGTCTGCAGAGATACCTTCTTCATAAAGAGGTGAAGTCTTAACTTGGAGACCTGGAATTATTTCAGCATGTGGAGGAAAAGCCTGAAGGTGAATATTCAGCTGTAACAGCTGTAAACTACTCGCATTTTAATAGATGAAAAGATGCTTATTTGCATATTTGGGGACAGATGTAAGCAGTCTTTCAGCATGAATAGCTTGCCAATGGAAATATGAATTCTGCATTTTAAGACCATTATGGATGAGTATATTTTACCTTTTATGAAGCATCTGGAAACAGCAAGTCCCAAAAGCCACCAGTATCAACAGCAGTAGTGGTATAGTAGGTATTACAACATAAATTAGATTCGGAATTATACCTACAAGACAAAAGTTCTCATTAATGTCTCCCATGCTGAAATACCCTTAACCATGTGAGCAAAAATCTGGAGGAGAATATCAGAAATACGTTAACTTACACAAGAGAACACTTATACATTCCTTCTATAGGAAGAGTTCCAAAGATATAAGTCAGCAGTATCAAGAAAAAAACAGCATAGGAGTGATGTTCAAGTTACATTAAAGTCTTAGAATCTGATATTTTCCAACTTTTTATTTGAAAATTTAAGTATTTTAAGAGTAAATTTCACAGCCTACTATTTTTACAGTCCATACAACCTGTAGACTCAGTTGCCCTTGCATGCTGGATTGCCACCTGTGCAGGACCACAGGAGGAAAAAGTCAGGCTCATCTCCCCTTTCCCCTTCAAAGAGAGATATAAACTGGTCTTGACTAGTCAGGAGCTGAAGGTGCTCTCCTGCAGGTCCCTGGACAAAAAGAGTGGGAAACGGTAAAAGCTGAGACTATTATCTGTCTACAATAAAGCATGTGGTCTGCAACTTCCAGAAGGGTCTGACTGGTTTTTGGTAATTATATGTCTATGTTTTATACCAGTATATATTTAATGTTCAAACTGTGGAGAGTTTCTTACCCACCTCTTTTGAAAATATTTTTTCACTAGCAAAAATAAATGTGAGTGTTCAGGTTGGATTTGGTTAGGAGTTTTAGATAGTCTTTGCATAGTTTCTATAAATAGTATTATTAATTTCAAAACACAGTTCATCAATATATCAGTTCCTCTGGAGTTACAAACAATGGAAATATCAGTTAGGAAGCTAACTAAAATCCAGACAACCAGTGTGGAAACAGCACCAACTTTCCATAATCCCATGGTACAATCCTGTAAAATCCAAAGTTTCTCCTTAGAGATATTCAGTTCCTTGAACTAAGGCCATACTACATATTTTCATGAACCTCAAGACTCCATTAAGGACATAAATTGCTAAATGAAGTCACTTGGACACTACAGGAAGCACCTGGGCAGTAGGTACCTGTTTCCAAAATACCAAGTGATGTTTCCACTGGAAATCTCAGCAAAGCACTCAACTCCTCTAAGCAGGTGACATTCCTTAAAACACAGGGTACCTGGAGTTATGGCACTGTGCTTATTCTGTAGATAACTGGAGAATTCATGCCAGGTCTGTTAGGAAAGATTAATTTGTGCCTTTTTCATTTTTTAATGACTCAAAGGTGTCAGATATAGAGGTATGTGTTGAGGAAGAGGTGGGGAGGAGAGGAGAGAGGCAAGGCCCTGGTTACCACAGCCTAGAAGGAGATGCTCCACAGCTGGGTGAACACTGGTGAAATCTTACATCTCAGGAGAAACAGGACAGATTGTAGATTCAGATCAAAGTTTGGGGAGATAAGGAAATTATTTGATTCCACAGCTACAAAGAAGAATGACTAAAACTCCTGAAGTGCTATTCAAATGTATACTTTTTCAGGGTAGTTCCTGTGGAAATAGACTGCTTCCTCCCATTGGCAAATTAATGTTTAACAGTTTCCATTATCAACAGAGTCCACTATTAATATTTTTACCAGAACACTAAATTCATATGAACACATTACCTGTTTCAGTAGCAATAATGTGATACTGATCTTCTGGTTTGCTTGTGTCATAAGGATTTCCTGCTGGGACTGTTGGAATAGTATCTGAAAAGGATATCGGACATTTTAGGAAAATATGACTGTTATGTTGTTAAATAAATTAATAGTAATTACATCTTAATTTATATTGGGAAAATGAACATTTTTATTTTATGATTGACTAAACTGCTGGATATATATGTCTAAGCAGGATTTTATTATGAAATTGGGATTACATCTGGAACAAGAATTACTAGCAATGCTATTTTGAATAGCCATATATTTGTAGCTATTGCTCTCTAAAGGATTCATTTCTCCTATGTTCCAGTTTTAAACTGTGCCTGTTAAACTTAAATAGTTTTGGAGGGTTTTGTAAACTATCCTTATAATTCTGTATTTATCATTTCAACTCAGTTTAATGTTTAAAACTTCTTACCGTAATCTGGCTCTGCTCTGTCTCCTAATTCTTTTTCTAAGACATAATCTGTTAAATCAATATTTGAAATCAATTGTTGAAGAATTAAATATGTGTGCAATAAAACAGATGTTTTCATTCTTTTGCATGCAGTATCATAGAAATAGATACATTTCCCCCCAAAAAATATTGCTTAACTTCAGCATTCCATCTTTTTACCAAAGACTATTTGCAAACTAGCTTCAAATCACTTCTACTTCATACTTTTTGCCCTTTAGAAAAGTTTATTCTAGTTCCAACTCTTGGTGGCCTCTTCTAGATTACTGAATAAACCACTAGACATCCTAATTTCCTTTGCTCAATAAAACTCTTAACATACTCAAAGTTTTATTTGTCCAGACAATCCTAAAATAATATTAAAAACTGAGTGTTCTTGATTAGCACTTAAATTTTATCCACATTTTCAAAATAATTCTTACAGAAAATTGGCTAAGAAGCAAAACAAAGCAGCACAAGTTTGTGAAGTTAGATGCCAGCTTCATGTAGCCCTAAAATCCAAATCATGGGCAGTGGCTTCTAATAAACCTGATAAGGAACTGAAATCACTAAAAGAGGAACGATATCTTACTCTTGGAACACACCAGAAACTGGAGAACAAATTCACAGCCTTAAGCTGCATTGCAGAGGCTTGTAAAGCTACTTATGGTTATTGTTATAACTAAGAGTTCACAAAGATCACAGAATTAATTACCTGATATGGGGGGGGGGGGGAATCTGCATGACAGTTTGAACACCATTCCTTTATCATGAGACTTAACTTAATAGTGCTATAAACCTGCAGTTCTGAGTGTCTTGATAAACACAAACTGCTGGGAGAAATCAAAGCAGCAATAAAGCCTACTAGAAAAAAAAATTCACTTACTCTGGTTAAAAATAGTGACATCTGACCATACATAAAGAAAGATACCAAAATACCCCAAAGAACTGAGTTCTGCCCCTAGACACCAGAACAGCAGTTTTTAATTTCACTGCATAATCAAACATACAGGAGCTGGACAGAAACTAAATGTGGTTGCAATTACCAACCTATAATTAAATTTAAGATTGCTGAATGATCAATATGATCTAAAGCCAGCAAATGCTGTCAAGGAAAGCACTATAAAAAGGGCTTAGAAAAAGAAAGTGACCACCAGAAATGTAGTTGCTGCCTGATCAAGACTGCCTAATGAGCACTGCCCTGAACTTGCTGATGATACAATTAGATTTAACTTCATCACAGTCACCTACAACCTGTTTTGGCCTGTGACTGGTATCAAACACCACATACACCATATAGTCAGAGAAGTAGGGGAAAAACAACATACTTGGATAACAAACTGAAATTCAATATGCCTGTGGCACTTGAATACTCCTGCTAAAATGGATGTATTTTGTATTGCAAATAGCTGACGTTGAAGCTTTTATGGTGATTTGGGGGGAAAAAAAGGTTATTTGTAAGATCTCAGTTTGAGATGGCAAATGTAATTTTCTTGCAAACATTGTAGTACTTTCTTCAGGCAGTGAAAGAAATGTCTATACCTATTTATATACATTTATGCATCCACTCCTTCATGTGACAGAAAAATGCATTTCTGGAGAATAGTCTGGTTTCCTAAAGAGCACAATTCCAACAGTTTGAAAAATAAATAGCTACAATTCAGCATTACTGTATTTAGCTACATAACAATGTCAGTCCTAACAATTATCTACCTACATATTATTTGCCTTATATGCCTCATTATACACTATGAACCTATTTCTACATGGTGAAAGGAATATAAATGCATTTTCATTGTTATGCAATTTCTCTCTTATCACTTTGTTTTCTGCCAATCCAAAATACCTGGCATTTTTTCCAATGGTGAAAGCAAAAGAAAAAAAACAATTCTTTATCACATCTCAACAAGAATGGTAAGTAGTTCCCTATTAGAGAATCATTATTTCACTTCAATTTGGTTTTTCTAAAGACATGAAATATACTTGAAATTGAACCTTTTTTACCAAACCTGAACTTTCTGACATCAAAATGTTATTTTAATGACATAAAACCTCTTTATTATCCTATTTTAAATCATTGTGTTCAGTTGTAAAAGTGATAAAAATGTATATGTCACATTTCCTTGAAGGGCCTATGATAGATAAAGGTCATCACAAGATAGTGATAACTAATACCTTTAAAAGCAGAGACAGATTTTGGGGGTGGGGCTAAAATGTGTAGGTGTACCGAGCCTTCCAAATATTTAATATTTGCTTGCAATATCAATTGACATTAATTTCCTCATTAAGAGACTAGAGAGAGGAAAAAGCTATCTCCCAAAGTCAGAGGAAGAAAATAGCCTGAATCTCTACAGACAGACAGATCTGTACTAAGAGAGTGATTATGGCTTGACTGTGAGCATCGAGAAAGCAGATAGAAAACTGCAGAACTGTAGGACAAACAGCTGTTAAGAGTAGGATTTCACAGAATCACAGAATGGCTTGGGTTGGAAAGGACCATAAAGATCACCTCATTCCAGGGACACCTCCCACTAAACCAGGTTCCTCAGAGATCCACCCAGCCTGGCCTTGAACAATTTCAGGGATGGGGCAACCACAGCTTCTCTGGGAAACCTATTCCAGTGCTTCACCACCTCCAACTACTCTTTCAGTTTGAAGCCATTCCCCCTTGTCCTGTCACTGCAGGCTTTTATAAACAGTCTCTCTCCATCTTTCCTGTAAGCTCCCTGGAAGGCTACGCTTAGGTCACCCCAAACCTTTCTCTTTTCCAGGCTGAACAATCCCAATTCTCTCAGCCTTCCCTTATAGCAGAGCTGCTCCATCCCTCTCATCTCCTTGGTGGCCTCCTCTGGACTCGCTCCAACAGGTCCATGTCCTTCCTGTGCTGGGACCCCAGAGCTGGAGGCAGCACTGCAGGTGGGGTCTCACCAGAGCAGAGCAGAGGGGAAGAATCCCCTCCCTCCCCTGCTGCCCACACTGCTTTTATTAATTAATTAAAGAAATTAATGCATAATTTCATATGCATTCTGACTTTCAGCTTAGCTTTTGAGAAACACACACAGCACAGATTAATATTTGTATGATTCTCCTGCACACCATGTTTTCATTTACTGTGAGTACCACCAAGAGTAGACAGTGTTACAGGCTCAAACTTGAAAGTTTATTTTTCACGTCTTTTCTGGGTTTGCATGATGTTCTAGTTTATAGTTCATGTTTCCTCTACTGACATATACAGAACTTATGTCATGTCTGGAAGTACAGCCAAATTGCCTAAGATCTGGCTTTTTCTGTCACCATCTCAACTAGCATGCATCTGCTTTTCATATCTAAAGTTTACATGCATGCATGTTTTTTCCTACTGTTCTAGATTTCATTCTTAAAGCCAAAACTTTTTGAAACAACCATGACAAATAACTAAATATAAAATGGTGGGTCTGCAACTACAAGGACAGTGTATTTTTCCAGTAGGACCAAGATATGTCTTGGTCATTCTACTTGACAGTGAGCAAGGAAAGTGGAAAGTGGCCACTTAAAACACTTTGTGGAGAATAAAATAACCAGAGAATAAATTAAATCAAAGCAAACCTGGGAATGCATGATAGTGAAGATAACCTCGTAAACATTCTTATTAGATACAAGCAGGTTTATTTAAATTTATTAAAAATTTATTTCAATAAATAATTATTATTGACATATTACATCCCTGTTAATGCCAGCTCAGCACACACCAAACGAACCAGTAGTACAGGCCACAAGACACTTGCAGATTCCCTCACAAAACTGAGGAAGTTCTTTTTCTAAAGTAACACCCCACCTGTGAAATATAACTTTAATTTCACCTACCTGGGGCATATTTGCAGATAAAATTGTGCTTCATGTTGCATCTATCATCATTCCACTGATAAAGGTATGGCCCTCCCAGACCAGGGTTTGCAGTTGGCTGATGATACATCACCACACAGGCTTCACTTCCACAGGAAGGCTCATCTGTATACCAATTTCTAGGGGTACACACAAAGACAAACTTTCAACTTTCGAAGGCAAGGCTCATCAGGATGCTAAAAAGAGTTCACATTGATGAAGACACATCAACCCCAGCACTCCCATCCTCAAAGATATGCTGCATTGCCCACAGTTTCTCTGTGAAAATATTCTATGCATGCTAGAACAACCTCCAAAAGCCATACAGGGACAAACTCATTAGATGGGAGCAAAGAAAATTGTAGGCTGAAGCCACAGCATGCCACCCTTTCACAGCTTCAGATTCAAAACCCCAGCTGCCAGCTGCGCTTTATCTGGAGAAGCTGAGAGACATTAGAAACTTCAAGGGGCAGCAAGTCTTCAAGCTTGTTTCTAGAATACTTGGCTTGCTGGGCATTTCAATCCCCATTTCTTTCCATGGAACCTTCTCAATAAGCAGTTTTCCACACTTACCTGAAGGGTGAAATACTTCCATCAGCCCACTGGTAGAGGTCGGGGCAAACACTTGACGTGGCCAGTCCGTCGCCACTCCTCCAGAGCCCGATCCAGAAATCACCATCAGAAATCCCAGAGCCTGACTTAGTGAGGTTCTGTAACATGTTTTCTATCAGTTGCTGCTCAGCTTCGCTTTCCAAGCTCAGTAAAGCCCCACCATCCATCTCACAAGCTTGGCGGGCCTCCTGAAAGCCCACGCGTCTAGACAAGTCCTGGAAATAGGCTAACTTGTAACATGAACGCTTGAAGGCACCATAGCACACCTTTTGACCTGAAAAAATAAAAATGAGAGCATTTAGAGTACAGTAAGGAACAGCAAAACTGCTAAAAAAAAAAAAAAAAAAAAGAGAAAAAAAAAAAGAGCACATGATGCAAATGTTGATGGAGGCCAGGAGATTTTTTTTCCCCCTGTCTGAAAAGATTTGTGGGGATACACTGGCACCACTGAAATACTTTGCCCTAATTTAAATTGCAAATATTGTGCAGTTCATGGGAATCTATGGCTTTCTTCCCAAGGCCTGTGAAACTCTCCAACACACTGAAGATTCCCACTAACTTCTAGAAAAACATTCCCTACTCTAATGACTGTACCATCAGGCCCCTCTGTTAAAGCCAAGATCTGTTTGGAGGGTATTTTCTTAACTATTTCATACTAACAGATCAACTCCACTTTTATTTTGCAATCAAAGCTATTTGATTTAAAAAATAATGTTAAAATTCTCCATTTTAGTGGCAAGAAGCATCTAGAATTTTTTGAATCCTGCTATCTAACCCTGAGAGGTTGTATTCATCTTGTGACGTGAAGCTGCTCTTCACTATAATGTGCCTAAGTTCAGCATGTAAGGGTGTGTGGAAGGAGAATATCTGCTTCTTCAGTGCAAAAAGGAATAGTAAAAGGATCACAATACACAAACACAGACTTGACAGGAAAATGTAATGGAGAAAAAAACTAAGGAAAAAAACCCAAAACTTGTCAGACACACAAATTTGTGAGCTATCAAGAAACTGCAGGCAAACAGGACTTTGCAACTTGACAAGGATGTTGAGGAGACTATGCAATCTCATGATATGCAATCTCACCACGCAGGGTTAGGGAATGGGGAGGAACAAAGAGGGAACTGACAGGAAAGGGTGTTAAAGGGGTCAGTCACATATAAAACGGTGTGTGACTGAACATGTGCCTTCCCTAGGCATCTATTTGTGCCAGCTGAGGAGGAGGAGGGGACTTGACTCTCCATGTTTACATTGGTGATGTACTTGGGTGCTGTTGAAGGCAGCATCTTGTGTGTGTCCATCTGTGTGACAGCAGATATTCCAGCACAGCACTGGAATATCTGCTCAGCTTTCCTACTTGGTTGAACCATGACGGGGAAAAGCTGCAGCCACATCCTCAGCAGCTCAGAGAGAAGCCCTGGGTACCAGGGTGGGCACCAGCAGCCAGGCAGGAGGGGGTCCAGGGACTTGAGGTGCTAGAGGAGGTGGCCGCTCTCTAAACATGCCTTACCACACCCAACAGAAACTCCAGATATTAGCAGATCTCAGTGCCAGCCAGATCTCACAAAGAAACCCTGTGATGCTTTCAAAAAGCTCTAGATCTACTGCATTCACACCACTTTTCCTTTGCCCTTCAGAGTTATGTCTGTGGAAAGAATCAAAAGCCAAGTGAAGAAATAATACTTATTCCTTCCACGTCTGTGGCTGAGAAAGATATGTGCCTTTTTCCAGAAAAGGAAAAATATTTATCTTCAATGACTCTAGAGTTTATATAACAAGATGAGAAATTAACACACTTCCATATCAGCTGCAACTGAACTCCAGTATATTCATTTCATGATAGGAGAAGGCTTCTAAATAACCATTTTTTAGGAAAAAAAAAGTCCATTTTTTCCCGTATAGAAATTTATCAATGAAGAACAAAAGCAGGAGAGGTTATGTAGATAGATAAAAATTACTGAAGAATACCAAAGCAATTAAACCCACCAGACATTATCTAGATTGTTTAGAAATCAACAAATTTCATAATTTGATTGGATAACTTGCTAAGGATAGTATTTAATTGTACCATGTCAGATTTGCATTAGAAAATTTTGTAGTTAGTCCCATTCTTAATCAAACCATTTGGCTTTACCTTTGAACAGGATTCATCCTGTTTTACCTTGAAAAAAAAAAAATTGTAAATTGTCACTGAAAAACAGCAACATCATCCTATAGATTAAGTTGCACTGCAGCTTTTTAAGCCAGTGTTTTTCTAAACACAAAGGATAAACATAGAAGCAAACAGAAAAGCCTAATAGCGATAATGAAGTTCATTCTTCTTGCTTTAGTATTGTTTCATTTTTTTATTTAGTAAGTAGCATAATTCCCACAACAGATTCCAAACAGCACAAGAGCTGACTGAAGACATCTCTGTATGTGTAGAGTGCAAAATTTCAAGAATTTGCAGAGAATAAGCAGAGTATATCAAAGCTGCACTAATAATGGAACATAAAAAGAGGAATAGCTTCATGCTATTTAACTTTTAGCTAAATCTGAAAATAACTCTTATTTTGGGGGATAATTTTTGTTGTGGAAAGCTAAATTATGGGGGCAATAGGATTATCCTATGCTTAGCTTTCTAGGGTTTCCTAAAACTCTTTAAAAAAAAAAAAAACAAACCAAAACAAAACAAACCAAATCTCTGAAAACTTCTTTTGATGAAACCCTAATAAAGTTCATCTGGGAGAAGGAGTGGTCAGTAAGATAAGTATCTTTGCAGCCTCATTGTTATTTGGCAGACAGACTTCTGAAAATCCAATTATTTATCAATAGTTAATCTACTAAAATAGTACAAGAACAGTTCAATAAAAAGGACAAGCATGTTCAAAGCATGGAAAAATCTAGGCTCCAAGATCAGGAGGAGACCACCTATTTGGACTTGTCTAATATTATCCTGACAACACAGTATGTCCCAGTTCCATTCCTGCCATTTCCACTTCATGCAGGTTAAGAGCCTTGCTATCAATCCATGCAGTAAGAGCCACAGTCATGGCTAGGCAATGGTGCTGAAGAACCAAAGGGCAGACCCTTAGATACAGAGGCATATAAAATAATGGGCTTCTTTCTAAGACTTCTTTGAATAGAAGAAAAAAATGCCCCTGCTGTCAAAGTAAAATGATAACACCGACTGCTCAAAAGTGGGAAGTGCATGAATGAAAACCAGGTGTGAAATCTCAGCTCAGTCCCTTCATCTATAACACTGCAATTCAAATTTTGTTGACATGATCGATTTTCCCTAGGAGTTCTGTCTCACTGACAGGATCAAGTGCACAATGAACTGATCAACATTTTGACCCTCACCACTGAGTGAGTGACAATGGCTTATTGCCAGAGTACACATATGGATATAACAGCTCAAACATCCAAAGGCTAGCACTGAATCATGTGGGACACGAATAACTTACACAGAAAAGTGACCACACCTTTCCCTCTCGCTCAAGATTTCATTCAAAGCATTAATTCAGGATGTATATGTAAATTTAGGGAGAGTCCTTTGTTCACTGCCTTGTCTTTTTTTTATTTTTCCAGACAATTTTTTGAGATAAGCTCTTCCATGATCCGCCCTTGACACCAAGTAGTAAGTTATGAGCAAATTCAGCTATCAAAATATTCCAGTCACAGTTTCAGTCATGCAGGAATGTTCAGTCGAAATGAGTAGGCTGACCACTGTGGATCTCAATTCTGTGATGATCTCAATTCCCATGCTGTGCCTCCCTTTCATGGGAAAATAGTTAGCTTTCCATCTATAATACACACATCCAGTCCCCTGCACGTTACTCAGGTGGTTGAAGTGTCCCCCCTCACTCTCTTCTCATGCACAGTCTCTGCTCTTCTGTGGTTCTACAAAAACCTGATTTAAATGACCTGCCTAGCAGGACAGATGGGTCCTTGCTGGCTACCTGACCAAGTTTCTTCAGGGTATTCATCTCCAGTCAGCTGCTGCACAGAGACTCGTGCTGCTTAATAGAATCATTTAGGTTGGAAAAGCCCTTTAAGATCACTGGGTCATGGAGTCCTGGCAAGTGCTGTGTCTGAGCTGCTATAAGGATACCGCTGTTATTGTAGATGTTTGTGCAGTGTTAAGTAACTCTAAAATCAAGTCTTACAAAATGAAGGAATTGAACAAGCGAAAATTTGCATGCATTCTAACTCTTAAATTCCTGCTCTTTCATTTGTTCCTTTCTACACCTCTGGCAAAAGAAATAACTTCCCCCTTAAAGGCTGATCATTTCTGCAAGAATATACCTCTAGAAACCAACAGAGGAAACAGCGAGGAACCAAGAACTAATTGGCATTAAGACCCACAGACCCATACAGTGTGAATGAAGTATGTGAGGCAGAGTAGAAGCTGTGAATTTCTCTTGTTCTAGTTAATTTAATCCCTGTGTTTAAGCAGTGACCGACTCTGAATCTTTTCTTTCTTCTTTTGAAGGGGACTTTGAACTAGCTCCACAATGGCAGGATAAATGTGTTAATGGAAATCTGCAGTTTTGCCTTAATAGCTGGCAAATCAGTTGACATTTTAGTGCTCTTCTCGGAACACGCTGAGGTGTCAGGTTTTCAAGCTTCATTTTTTACCACTTTCTCTTTCTACTAATTTCTGAACTACAAAGCAGAAATAATTTACCAGTGAAAAATGAAAGAATGGACCACATTGTACAGCAGACAAGATAAGTATGGAAACATTAACTATGTGTTATTTTACCTTACACTAACATCTTTGCAGCAGACAAGACTCCACAGTTAATTTTAAAGTAACATTTTTGCTATTTCAGCTGTATAAATTCAACTCCAATTTTTCTGTCACAATTGAGTAGAAAATAGATTTGTAAGCTAGACTATTGGAATGAATCACATTAAGATAGTATGCATTATGAATAAATAGAGGCCAGTTAGGCATTTACAACCTTTCCAAAAGATCTGCCCTGTGATACTTGAGGGAATAAAGAAAACATGAAGGAAAACACTGTGCCACCATATGGCATCCAGAAAGAAAGAAAAACATGTTATTGTGTTTGATCCTTCCTTCAGTGTGAGACTGAAGATCTAACTAATTTAATAAGAATAATTTAATAAGACCAAGGAACTCACTCTTTTCCCCTACAAACACACAGGCAAATTAAGGTTTCAACCAACTCTATTTGACTATCTGCAGATGTGGAGTGCTTACAGCCTTCCTTTCATGAAGCATATCCAAAGAGCCTTCCCTCACTCAAGCAGAGCAATCCAGACCCT